TTAAATAAATTCTGACTTATTTCTTTACTTATTTATAATTTGTTTTATTAATATCTTTATAATCGATATAATTCATTTAAATATTTAGTTAGTTAACTCTAGATTTGACCACAACTGCTGGTGGAATTTAAATAAATTCTTTTAGTATATTGCTCTAGTTTTTAAATTTTAAATGTTAAACTTTTAGATTTGTCAAATTTTAGACTTATATACATTTAAGACTTATATACATTTAATACAATTACTAACTTTTAAACTAAAATAAGATTTATGTTTAAAATTTATATTATTCTACTAAACATATAATTTGTGTGTATTTATTTGTTTTAATCAAAAGTAGGTTGAAACCTTTCAATTATTTTTCCGGTACGCTTGGCCTCGTGGCGGCGGGCGTATTTTATTATGGAACTTTTCGCCCGGCATTTCAATTACCGTCACCGTCAGATTTGGCAAAAACACGACGTTACCCGCAGCCGAACGACGAGAAACCCCCGAATTCGACCCAATCTCTCAACATCGCCTGTCATTCCGGGTAACATCATTCCGATCTCTTCTTCCCCATTTCATCCCTTTGTACATCGTTTAGAGAGTCGTTTAAAGTTTAAGGGATGTTCTAAACAGCGGTACACACGTTCGGATAGAATTGAGATACTAAACTTGAATCAATGTGCAGAAAAAACAGACATGGGGGAGTTTGAAAGGATTCTGCGAACGCTGTATAATCTGCGGAAGAATTCCCTGCCTTTGACGCTGAGAATGGGACTTTTTAGATTCCCATCCACGCGAGGGCTTGATAGGGGTCAAGGCGTGAATTTTATCCACGGCTCAGATCGTTGCTCCTCAGATGTAAGAGCGCGTATCTCTGTTATTCCTCATGAGCTCTGGAAAGCATAGAGTTATATGGAAAATAGGGCTCAAGTGGAGATCAGGATACGTCCTTACGTCAGAGGAGCGACAAGATGAGTGTTTTTTCATCAATTTTTGGGGTAGGAACAATAAACCCCCACATAAAGATTTAGTTCTGCTAAATCGACTCATTTCAATGTTTTGACCGTCCGAAAGAAAGGAAATGGCAGGAGGAAAATTGCCTAACCATCTCCTCCTTGTGTTTCAGAGCCTAGATCAAAATCAAGGAGGATGGGCCGAACTTAATGAAAGCTTGATTTTTTGGGATTTTTTTTAAAAAAAAGCCTTTTATTCGTGTATTATGAATGGGTCAATTCCGCTGGTCACGGAATCACGTTCTGATGCTTGATTCTTGTGGATTAGCTAAAAATAATAAGATCCGTCGAAACGGCAACTTTCTACGTGGCTTATTTAGCGAGATATCGCGCTTTGAAAAATTCAGTTTATGGCGTCATCCACCGCGGTAGTGAGACCCTTGATTTCTTCCACCTTGCTTTCATCAGTCAGGGAAATACACATTTGAAATGGTTACTCAACGTGTAACTTGGATGAAAGCAAGGCGGAAGAAACCAAGGGTGTCACTGCCGCAGTGGATGACGTCATAAACTGAATTTTTAAAGCGCGATATCTCGGTCAATAGTCATCGAAGAAAGTTGCTGTTCCGACTAATCTTAATATTTCAAGCGGATGGACAAGAATTAAACATCAAACTACGATTCTAACTAACCCTAATTATAGCAGAGAAGCTTTTCATGTACCGTCAGTGTGTGTAAAGTGTTTTCAAATGTGTCACCATAATGCGTTGTAATAAATGACAAAACACGAATTTCCTCTCTCTCTTCATCCTTTCAAAACTCCTCTAGAACCTTCTTTCCCGCCAAAACTCTATAGCCAATGAGCGTCTTGCACTGTAAGTGCAATCTGTGATGAGCCTCGTGACTCATTATACTATGTACTAACCATGGCCCCTGCCGAAATCCACTTAAACCACTACAGTTATCTCGCGATATAGCTTTGGGTGTCCGGTTTCGAGCAAGGCAATAAAAGACGGCGAGGCGATTAACCGATTAACCATTCACCGTGATGCCAGGATCCACCAAATTTTCTCAAAAATTGTTTTCCGTCTATTTAGCGATATTTTCTTTACTTTCCGTTGAAGTACAAATAAAAAGAGACCTCATTTGTACAAATCGGCCGAATAGGAGAGAAGTTACAGTTCGAAATCCAAAGAGATTAACTGAACGCGATTTCGATGCACGGCAGTTCGCCCAAATCACGGTCGTGCGCAAATGCCGCATATCAGCTTAAAATCAAGATAATTGGACGGAATCTTTAAAATTAATTTACATTCAACGTTCATGAATCAATATTTTCTCCCAAATTTAGCAAAAAGTACCAATTGATGCAAAAAGCAAAGACGTGAAAATAAGAGGTATTTGTCCAACATTTCAGTTATTCGGCACGCTTTTCCAACATACTCATGTTGGATTTTTTCTTCTTGTTTTTTTTGCTCCCCTTTTCTTGTTTTTTGAAGGATTTCAGTGAGCGCGCGTGCGGTTTTGAGAACCTGTCATGCTGTGATGTCTCAGTCAACAATCCGTCGATGATATAATACACCTGACGCGTGTCAGGTGACTCCGTGGCAAGAATCAGAAAGTTTTGACAAGACGGCTTGTGTGAACTGATAACACATGAGCGTGTCACACACAATGCCAACCTCGAGGATTATCAAAACTGATAGGATGTTGAAAGTTTATAATGAGTAGGCAAAATCGAGGGGAATAAAACATGGATTAAATTTTGCAATAAGCCACCACTACATCTGGCCCATTTTAGAAATAACATACATGTCATTGGTTTCCCTACGTAGATGTGTGCTTTTATGGAAGAGCCAGAGATAGTGGTCCCTTCTTGCAAAATGTAACCCAAATATTACAGGGAATACTGGGATGTTATATTGCTGCTGCGTTTACCATTTTTAGAAAAGTAAGGATTGAGCGTTGCGACTAAAAAGCACATCCATCGGATGGCGTAAATTTTTAAAGGCAACGAAAATGGAAGGAGATCATGCGTTTATCACTGACGAAGTGAGATAACTCTTGCGTGTCCTTAAAAGAAAACTGGTGAAACTGATCAGCTCTGTGAACATCTTGAATAGAATTTTCATCGTGGAAATACAGTTGAAAAATAATCGTGGAAACAGTATGCCCTTGGCAAAAGACGATTGTCTCCTATGAAACTTCGAAGGATTGAAAGATTGTTCACTCCCAGTTTTTTCCTCGCTAGATATGCGAGAAATTTGTATTATACGCATATTTTTTCGGTTTAGAATTAACGGACATTGCGTGCGAAATTTTTATGGAATGTACCTGTAAACACTGACGACAAACTATCCGAAAAAGAGTATGCGAGATATCACTTTTACGAAAATATGTTACATCATACTTCCATTCAAGTTTTTGGCTATGAGTAGAATTTACCATTCGGTTTCACAAATTAGTCAAAAAGTTATACATGTCAGTGTCTTCGAAGCATGAGAGCAAGGAAGGGGCATCAATCTCATATGTTTATAAGGAACAAACGGTTTAAACCGCTGTAATGTAGTTAGTTTGCTGTCAGCAGAGACAAGAAGCTCTCCACTAGTATCTTGGCAATGTTGGAAGCTTTTAATTTCGGGACTTTAAAATTCAGCTGTTGACCTACTTAATTGATAGTTAACATCGAGTTGGCAGGTTTTTTTGGCACATTCAGCCGTTGACCTCCTTGATTGATAGTTAACATCGAGTTGGCAGGTTCTTTTGGCAAATAAATCAAAGTTTGGAAAATTTGTTTGGCTCAAGACGCCACCCGAATTTCGAAATCCACCAAGTTTGTAGATCTACAGCCGAACAAAGAGTGATGACTGTTGCTCCTTTATGTGTGGACGTATTTCTGTTAAACGGAACTAAGCGCCAAATTGAGTTCCTTCAAAGGGTTTTAGATTCCCGGATATCGCGTTCTATCAAACGGAACTAAGCGCCATGGAAAAGCATTGCGAGTATGGGACGGAACGCACGTTCTACAACACCCGCCAAAAGCACCGCCCCTCTCCCTTCCTTCGTTTGACAGGAATACGTCCAATGAAGATGTTGCATGTGTGAGGCATTAGCGATTTGACTGTCGATTCTTATGTAAAAGTTCGCGAGAAACACGATGAGGCCACTGGTGTTCTCTAAAATCAACTCCCAAGCTCAAAAAAGCTCTCAAGTTGAGGCCAAAATGGAGGGGATATCCCACGCTATCCTGAGAGTCCACCTCTACATCAAAACAAACTCTCCATGCAAAGATAGGGAGCAAATACATTGACAGGGCTGCCACTTTATTTGGGGACTCAAAAATTGAAAACACGGCATCACTGCTGATGTATTTGCTCCTTATCTATGCATGGAGAGTTTGTCTTTATGTAGAGGTGGACTCTCAGGATAGCGTGGGATATCCCCTCCATTTTGGCCTCAACTTGAGAGCTTTTTTTGAGCTTGGGAGTTGATTCCAGAAAAAAACCAGTAGCACCATCGTGTTTCTCGTGAACTTTTACATAAGGATCAACAGTCAAATCGCAAATTCCTCACAGATGCAACATCTCCATTGTCCGTAAGGAAGTGTTGATGTTGAATCCCCGAAATTAAAAGCTTCCACCTGTCGCCAAGAGGCCAGTCTGGTCTCTGTGTAATTTGTTTGCTGTTAATCAAGTCCAGTAAGTTTTAGGTTATGGTGCAAGTGAGGAGTGGAAAGTGGAAAGGAGGTTGACATGCTGGTGCTCATGCGTATGACGTCATCGGGGACTCACTTCGGGCCTTGGTGGACATGACCTGGAGCTGCTCGAGGAAGTAGCTGCAGGTGACGACCCTGTAGAAGCCCCAGTGTTGAATCCCCGAAAGAAAGTAAAAGCTTCCACCTGTCGCTATGAGGCCAGTGGACGGTTTGTTGTCTCTGTGTAATTGGTTTGTTGTTAGTCAAGTTTAGTAAGTTGTAGGTTATGGTGCAAGTGAGGAGTGGAAAGTGGAAGTGAGGTTGACATGCTGTTGCTCATGCGTAGGACGTCATCGGGGACTCACTTCGGGCCTTGGTGGACATGACCTGGAGCTGCTCGAGGAAGTAGCTGTAGGTGGCGACCCGGTAGAAGCCCTCGTGGTAGGACTTCTTGCCCATGGCCGAGTAGACGGCGGCGAGGGTGAAGTGGCACTTGGAGTGCCCGCGGTCCTCCTCGTAGTTCTCGTAGAGGAGCCCGACCTGGTTCCAGCCGAAGTCGGAGAGGATCTGCTTGAGGGCGATCTGGATGAGGTTGTCGCCGGAGAGCATGCGGGTGAGCATCTTGAAGTCGTCGGTCTTGTTGTCGAACACCTTGGCCTGGGCCCCGGCCGTGAGCACCGGGATCCCCCACACCACCCCCGAGAAGCGGGCAACCTGCGCGATCACGTACTCGCACACCGGGCCCAAGAACATGTCTGCAACAGAAAGTCAAGCTCGTGGTTAGTTCCAAGTCATGCACTTCTTATCATAAATGGATAAAAACTGGATATAGAGAAGAAAAAGGATGGCAACCTGCGGGCTGATTATTGAAATTGATAGGCGAAGAGGATAAAAAGGATATGGAGGGTTCCTATTGGTGGAAGCGGGTGGTTGCAATGGACAAAGGACGTAGGTAATAGACTAACTAACGGCAACTCACGGGAAACCCGATATTTAGTCCATCATTTACCCCCTAGTCTATGAGAACCACCCATTTCAACCAATGGGATCGCTCTTTACTCTTTATGTCTTCTTTGTCTACAGTTTTGTCTATACATTTCAATAATCGGCCCGCTGCTGACCCAAACCGTTATGGATCTCTCGGCATGACCTCAACTGAAGGTGATTTCGTCACCTTCCAGGCAAAGTATCACAAGCGCCATGCAACGTTTAAAAATTTCCGCCGCCATTTTATTTTTTTTACTGAGAAATTGTTGGTTGAATCTGTTCGAAAATTTCACTAAATTTTATCGACAGCACAAAGAAAATTCGGTGTAATTTTTGGACAGGTTCGTTGAAAAATTTCTCTGTAAAAAAATATAATGGCGGCGAAAATTTTTAAACGCCGCATGGCGCTTGTGATACTTTGCCTGGAAGGTGACGATTTGTCAAGCTCAAGCAACGCGGTAGAACTGATATGCGATATATCGCATCGATTAGGTCAAACACTTCGGCAGCTTTTGAATTTTTAGTAAAAAAAAGGACGATAGCCCCTGCGAATAAGCCTAAAGAATCATTCTAGGCCCAAAAATTGGACAAATTCAGAGGAATGAAAGTAGAATAGTGCTTGGAAAAAACCTCGCATTCGATTCAGCTATCGATTTCTGTATCGAATGCGAGGTTTTTTTCCATCGTAATGCCTTAAAATCGTTGCATTTTCTCTTTATTCTCTTTGTATATATCACTTTGCCTAGGAATTGATCCGCAGCTTTAACTCGATCTAATCCTCAACATTTGATTAGAGTAAATTTTTTTCCTCCTTAACTGTGTACATTCGAGTTATAAGAGGAAAACTCCATCATCTGTACTGCCGTGCTAAGGAAAAACGCCGTATGAGCCTTTAGGCGTTGCCAAATTTCCTTAGATAAATCAAGACTTTACGGGAATATTTAAAAATATTTTTCTTCCGATTTTTTAGACAATTTCGTACGTAATTTGATCCAAATATTCCAAATATTGTAAAAATATCAAGCAAAAATATTCACAACGTTCTTCAAAAATAAACATTTCATCGGAAGAAATTTGGCAACTCTTGAATGTTCATACGGCGTTTTTCCTTAGCATGGCAGTGTAGGGGAGTTATCAAGAAAAGGTATAATTGAGAAGCAAAGAAGGGTACACGCTACGAGAGAAAGATTTCGAAATTTGTAACTCGATAAGCATTGAACGACTAAAGGGTGACACGGAAAGAAAGGTTCTTCTTGATGTTTCAATAAAAATGCAACGGGAAAAATTTGGAACGAAAGATGTCGCAGGTTTAAAGAGCGTAAACGGAGCAAACTGGGTTATTCTCTTTATGCAGTAGCAGCGCGGTGGAAAAAATTTGAATTGAATAACTCGTTCTAAAATTGGAATTTAAATCTAATCAAATCACAGGGGTCTTGCATTTTAGTGCTCTTACAGTGTCGCAGTGCGTTCTTTTCTTGCCGATCCTAAAAATAGGGCCGTAAAAGGATGCGAAATCTCCGAGGAAAGGGAAGTTTCATCTTCCCTACGTTTATCCTACGCTTAAAATTGCATACTTGATGGTAAAATTATTCTTTTCTTCTCGGGCGCGGTTACTGTTGACCCCATTTCAAGTTGTAAATACCTAATAAAATGTTACAAAAAAAAGACAACGAAAAAAATCGATTTTTGAGTGAATAAAATTACTTAAAAGTGTAATCAGTATGTTCATATTCGCAAGAACAGCTATCTTCGAACGAGAATACGGAAAAAGAACTTTTCTTTCTGATATTTTGATGTATTTTGAATTGTAAAAATATCGCAAAGATTCAGATGCGTCGATTACTTTTAATTACAAATAAAATTGTTTGACATCAACGTGAGTGCTTTTTAAAAATTGACAAAATCATGTTGCCAATTTTTACATGACTGGCCACACCGTAAATTTCACACAAATTTTACGTTAGAAAAGACAAAAACGGTTTCGTAAATAGTATATTTTAACATTTTTTTTTTAAATTCCAACTAAATAGGCATTATTACTAGGATGACAATGCTGTCTTAGTGGTTATAGCTACCAATGGTTGAAGGTAGTAAATAGTAAACTACTGTAGAGGGTGCACACGTTTAAGCAATCTTTGCGCAAAAATTGACTTGCGGCTCATGCTGTTGTATGATATTTGAACTTAACCCTTTGTTGCATGAGCTAATCGTTGATTTTGGAGAGAAAATCTGCATCGTGCAGTATTTTTTCGACAGTAAAGTCTGTTGGAATAGATTTTTGTAGTTTTTTTTTTTTTTTTTTTTTTTTTTTAAAGTAAGGAAATCAGACTCACTGGAAAAAAAACACAGTGGATCTAGAGTCCAGACTCTTTAAAAAAAACAAGAAAAAATATTCTTGATTTAATTGGATTTTTGCTTAAATCAAGAACCAAGACTCTTAATTTGAGCGGATTTCCTTTTGATTTAAGCAAAAATCTGATTGAATCAAGAGTATTTTTTCTTTTCCATATTTTCAAGAGTCTGGACTCTAGATCCAATGTGTTTCTTTTCCAGTGCTTATAATGCTCCCCAAAGACATTTCTTGCTTTGATTCAATTTAATACTTCAGCATAGAAATAAAGCTGGAAACCATTTGTTGCTTTCATGCAACGCTATGCAATGAGGCGTTAAAACCGACTTGGCAACATTAATTCAGATTTTCTGGAGACAGAAGCACAAACGCTAGTGGGTCGAGATAGGAAGAATGAAGATGAAAATATTTGGTGTGAGGGGGGGGGGGTTAAGGGGGACCCACGCTCTAACGAGCTTCGCGGGCCACGTTATGAAACGAAATAAGGAAAAGCATCAGAAACTCGAGAGAACCTGCGTTACCAGACGACAAAATACGTTCAACAGGGTGCGGGTCGGGAATACCCCCTATATTCCCGTTTAGCGGAGACGTTGTAATCAAATATCAATTTCGGCCTCAATTTTTTTCGCGTTTGGAATAATTTTTCATCCCGCTTCCGTAGCTCCCATCCCCATCACGCATCTGATTTTTTATACCTCCTGCTCATCGACTGTTTGCAAATAATTTGTGGCAATTCCCCATTATCCCCCATTCCCTCTCGTTTTTTCCTCGGATATTTCCTGGAATCTACCCTTAGGGAAATTTTTTGTCACAGGCGGTTTAGTCCACGGAAAAAATGGAATTAGGAGTTAAGACCCAACTAACAAAATTGCCGTAGTACCTTAATATGTTAGGTTACTAATGCAAATATTGCGGTACTACCCCCAACTTGAGTTTTGGTGCTAATCTCAAAGAGGTGAGAATGCCCCTACCATGACATTAATCTCTTACATTAATCTCTGACATTAATCTCTAACCTTAATATGTTAGGTTACTGACGCAACTATTGCGGTACTACCCCCAACTTGTGTTTTGGTGCTAATCTCAAAGAAGTGAAAATGCCCCTACCATGACATTAATCTCAATAAGCCGCAGTTGTGCCGACAGAAACTGCAAAAATGAATGAAAGAGGGAAAAAAACTAAGAAGCACGCAATCTTTAGTTTTAGCCCATTTGTACATCGATCTTTTGGAGCCAAATACGTCAAATTTTGAGCGTTTCATTGCGAGTACACCTCGCTGCAGCACAAGAAAAGCACAAAATTTAAAAGAAAAAATTAAAGTGCTTTGGAAATCATTAAATTTGACACGGAACCACCAATAATTGAAAAACACACATTATATTCTCCTTTGATAAATTGATACATATTTTTCCCATCAATTTAAATGAGAATAATCAATACAGAGTGTACAAACATTTCAAAATCATGAGTTAAAAAACGCAGACTATCTTAATATTTAATTTGAAAAATAGAATGAAATTGTGAATCAACCACTGTACTAATTGCGAGGGGCGTTGGTTCATTTGAAAGGTGTTGTTCTCAATGCTTCGGGAAAACTATAAATTATTTTCTGGGGTTCGTCCCCGATTTTTAAATCCCTACAAACTCATAAATTGGATGAGGGGAAGTGGGGGTTTTTTGTTTTTTGTTTTTCGGAAAAGTTTTGTTGCTACGCATCTTACTGTACTGTTTGCTGTCTTTTTATCAGCTGTTTTCANGCGGGATTTACAAAAATGCGCAGTCTATTTACGCAAATATCTCGCTTATTAGTTGGTTTCATGAATTCCCGTTTGTACCATTGAATTCTACGCGAAATTCTGATGCAGATTCATGTGCTTAGAGCCTCCAGTTCTTACCCTGTCTAGAGGCTCATTGCGGAAATTCGCCTTTTGAATGAGGGATCCCTGAGTCTTACGATAAAATACGCCTGAAAATGGAGGAATGCGGCAACCCGTGATGAATCTGAAGGGATAAAGCGCCGGAGTTTCTCTTGTCCGTTTTCTCGAGCAAACGCCTGAGGCGGTACGCGGGTGAATGTCCAGTTATTTTCCGCCATTAGCTATTAAAATCCACCCCAACCCTGAGCCCACGGACTCTTTACCCAGACGAACGCCTCAATTTCAATGGTGGGAGGGACAGATGGGTGTATTTCTGCCAAACGGAACTATGTGGTTTAAGACATGAGCCCTGAAACCTATAAGAATACAAGCATAACAGAGCTCACGTCATGATGCACTTAGTTCCGTTTAACAGAAGATGATGGCTTGCGGGCTTCGGGGTAATAAACAGATTGGACGCGCCAACAGCTATCAACCAGTTGTTTACAATTGTTCAAGCACCAATTTGCCCTTATTAAATGTAAATATGCTTCCACGAGG